TTGCCCCCTGAGCTCCTCCGCTTATGTCTGTTGGCACTCTGGGGTCCCCCGCTTGCACCCCGGGGTCCCTGGTGCCACCCCACAGCCTCTTATTGCGCCCTGAGATTCTTCCTTGCCCCCCCACGGTCCCCTGTTTATGCCCAGGGGTTCCCCTGCCTGCACCCCACTGTCCTCCCACTTGCACCCCAAGGTCCCTGCTTGCCACCCGAGGTCCTCCCCTGTCCCCCCAGCCCGAGCAGGTAAGCAGAGGGGGTGGCAGGGGCACTGCCAGGTGCCCACCCTCCTCCTCCTCCTCCTCCTCATCCAGCAGCTCCTGCCCCGTCCCTAGGCCCGGGAGGGGGGACATTGTGGGCACAGGGGCCCTGGCAGCCGGGTCGGGGGGGGGCTGATAACAGGGTGGCAGGGAAGGACCTGGAGCTGCTCCCTGCATTCCCATTTTCCCCCCAAATCTCCTCCCTGACGCACAGCTGGCAAGGGATACCCAGCTTGGAATGGGAGCCTGGGGCCAGCTCAGACCCCCCCCTGCCCCGTGCCTCAGTTTCCCCTCGGAGGAAACGTCCCCCTGGCTGCGTTTGGCAGCTCCGTCCGCTGTAGGTGACAATGCAAACACCCCGAGGGGGTGAGGCCGTGACGCAGAGGGAAGAAGGGGTTTCCAGCCGGGCCCGTGCGCCGCAGGATTTCCCCTTTCTCCCTTCCCCAGTCCCCGCGCCGGGCAGAGCCGGCCATGGAGTTCTCGGAGCTGATCAAGACGGCGACGGTGGAGAACGTGCTGCTGTCGTGCGCGGGGCTGCCGGCGGTGCGGGGCACCCTGTGCATCACCAGCCACCACCTGCTCCTCTCCTCCTGCCCCGGCGGGGACGTGGAGCTCTGGCTGCTCATCCGCAACGTGGACGCCGTGGAGAAGAGGTGGGTGTGCTGGTCTCCCCCCCCGCCTCCATCCCCAGCACTCCCTCCCAGCCCTGTCACCCCTTCCTGAGCAGAGCACGGCCACCCCTGGGTGCTGCCCGCCGAGCCTTGTCCTTCCTCTTCCTCGCGGCCCGGCGCGGCAGCAGCGGGCACTGACCTCCTGTTGTCCTCAGAGTGCAGAATTTAGGCTGGTACCAGCCCCCCCGGACTAACGGCTCCACCCGGGACACCAGGTTTGGCTTTGAACGCTCCCTTGGCTCTGCCAACCACCGCGGCGCCCACCCCACCCCGTCCAGGGCAGGGGGACGCTGGAAATCCCGGCTCCGGGGGCAGATGAGAGCCAGAGATTTGGCAACCACACCAGCACAGCCCTCGAGGGGAGAGGGCAGTTCATCACTGTCTGTGTGTC